GTGCAGGAGAGAGACGTTTGGAATGAAAGGTGAGATCATCTAAGGCGTGTGGGGAGTCTGAGGGTTGATTTAATGTTCTAATTGATAATTAAACTTCAGAGAGCTTCCAGAAGGCTGGGGGAGGGCAGGAGAAGAGGATGTTAACTCCCTTCGATGACTGGCCACAGTGACAGGCTTTAAGGACAAGAGAGCAACCTGCTTTAAAAAAGGGCAACTCTTTAAGAGAACTAGTGTGCAAAGCAGTAGAGAGGAGTGGAAGGAGTCCAGGGCGGGGCTGTGTGAGTCAGCAGACACATGGGTGCACACTTTGGTGTGATGAGGCGAAGGAAGGGAAGCAGAGGCAGGAGGAAGGAAGCAGGCGAAGTGTGGGCTGATGGGGAGAATGTGCTGTCGTTGGCAGAAGTCAGGCAGGTGAGCAGGAGCCAGCATCGGGATGGGGTTCGGGAACAGTGTGCCATCCTGCTTCCAAAGCCACATCACGTTAATAAGCAAACTGCAGGAACCACCAGCTATTTTAATAATTTTTTTAATTTTTATTTATTTATGATAGTCAGAGAGAGAGAGAGAGAGAGAGAGAGAGAGAGAGAGAGAGAGGCAGAGACACAGGCAGAGGGAGAAGCAGGCTCCATGCACCGGGAGCCCGATGTGGGATTCGATCCCGGGTCTCCAGGATCGCGCCCTGGGCCAAAGGCAGGCGCCAAACCGCTGCGCCACCCAGGGATCCCTCACCAGCTATTTTAAAACTGACATGGGATCCCTGGGTGCCATGGGTGGCACCTGGGTGGGCTCAGTGGTTGAGCGCCTGCCTTCAGCCTGGGTCGTGATCCTGGAGTCCCGGGATCTAGTCCCACATCAGCCTCCCAGCATGGAGCCTACTTCTCACTCTGCCTCTCTTTGTGTCTCTCATGAATAAATAAATAAAATCTAAAATGAATGAATGAATGAAAAAATAAAATAAATAAAATAAATAAAATAAAATAAAATAAACCAGACTTTGTGCAAAGAACTACGTGCTTCCATTAGGGTCAAAGCAGGAGCAGGCAGTCTGTGCCCCGGACTGCATGAATAAGCCTGGAAGGCCTTTCTTAGGATCTGTGTCCACCACCCAAAGGAAGGTGAGGCAGGGTGAGGCCACCACTGGAATCCTGCTTCAGGAACACACAGGCTTAGATGCATTCCAGGTGCCAGAAAGCTGCCTGTGGGGTGCAGCAGGTGAGGCCCCCGAGACAGCAGGTTGCGGCTGCAGAAACCCAGCATCTCTGCACTGTGTGTCAGCTGCACTGGCCTAGGCGGTTGCGGGGTGGGCACCCTTGTCCCCTGCCTGACAGCCTTCCCACGACAGTGGCTGCTTCTCAGACGGTAACCTCCATGCAGGACGTAACCTCCATGCAGGACGGAGCTGGAATGGAATGATAGAAACCCCCTCTCGACCCTTGACCTCTGGGAAGGCACCTGAGGGAAAGTCTTGAATTGACCTTAAGTACGGATCTGCCAAATGGGCCCCAACTCAGTACCTACACACACCATTGCACTCCAAACCTTCCATACCACTGGGAGGACACCTAGTGCTCCTGCACAACTTAACAGGTTTATTCTTCATACAAATGGGAAGTAATTCCATCTTCTCTGCAGAAGGGAAGAAAGAAACCTGTGCTTAAATATTTAATTTTTTCCCTCATCAACCATAAAATGCCTCACTGGATAGAAAATCACTTCTTTACCTGAAATTCAGAATATAACAACAAATTCAACAGGATACATCCAAAAGACCTTGGGGGGGGGGGTGGATCATACCTCCCTGTCTGTTTTTCAGTGAAGAACATTAGTTATGTTTTTTTTTTTTTTTCATCCTAGTATATGTTGAATGATGGTCTCCAGTTCTTGGAGCATCCGCCACAGATCTGGAATGTAGTGTTCAAGTGTAGCACCATTTTTCTTTATGGCAGGGTTTGAAGATGAGCCCAAAGGGAAAGTTCTGGCCAAAGATGTTTGGTGTCATTTTGTTTAAATTTCAAAAAATTGCTAGACACTTCTTCTAAATGAAAGATACTCCCCCCCCCCTTTCTTGGCAAAAATTTTCTGCCTGGACAAATTACAGAATGTGCTATATTCTCATGATCTTAGAATACAACCATTCCAACCCACAATCTGAATCATCAATTTCAGAAATAAGTTTTGATAACCATGGCTTCTTAAGGCTTCTTAAGAAATGCAAAAACATTGCTTTTCAAAAACTTTTTGTGACACCGAGGTCCCGATAATTTTACTATGTGCTTCTTCCAAGAGATAGGTAAACAACCTCTTTTAAGTTTCATACATTTTGGAATGGACACATCCTTGACTTTCCTCTCCTGTGCCAATTCTTCCTTCCCAGTTGGGGAGAGGACACCCAGCACCCCTCTATTTCCATATGACTGCCAGAACAAAAGGTTTTAATGTAAGTCAGATAACACCTTTCCATTTTTTAAAACTCCTAATGTCTGCTCTTTGCATTAAAATCTAAAACATTTCCACCCCAGCTTACAAGACCCCATGTTAGGGGTCTGGGTCTGTGCCACCCTCATCCCTTCGAGTAATTAATACCAAGTGGCTTTTTGCTCTCCATACTCCAGACCCTGAGCTGATTTCTGATGCTTTGATATGCCAAATTCACTCCTGATTTGGAGACTTTCTGTTGTTACTCCCACTGTCTGCAACTTTCTGTTCTTTTTTTTTTTTTAAATAACTTTATATTTTAGAGCATTTTTAGGTTCACAGCAAAATAGAGTGGAAGGGTGGAGTCCCCACGTGCCCCTGCCCCCACACTGTGCATAGCCTCTGTCACTGTCGGCATTCAGATGGTACACGTGTTATCGAGGGTGAGCGTGCACCGATACATCATCACGCAAGCCCATGGTGTGCATCAGGGGCCACTCTTGATGTTGTACATTGCATAGATTCTAGTAAATGTATGCTGGCATGTGTGTGTCATTACAGTACCACGCAGAATAGTTTCACTGCCCTGAAAATCCTCCCTGCCTCACGTGTTCATCCCTCTTCCTGATCCCAACCCCTGACGACCGCTGATCTTTTTTACCATCTTCACAGTTTTGCCCTTTCCAGAACGTCACCAAGGTGGAATCAGACAATGTGGAGCCTTGTCCGGCTGGCTTCTGACAGTCTAAGGCTCCTCTGTGTCTTTTCATGGCTTCATAGCTCATTTCTTTGTACCCCTGAATAATATCCCACTCTTTGGATGGACCCCAGGTTATCTGTTTACCTACTGAAGGACATGTTGCTCACCTCCAAGTTTTGACAGTTTTTAATAAAGCTGCTACCAAGTGTGTGCAGGCTTTCATGTGGAGCAAGTCTTCAACTCATTTGGTTAAATACCAAGGCATGCGATTGCTGGAGGTCTTGGTTCTTAATCTCACTAGGTTTATACTTTCATTCAGATGAATAGCCATTTGTTTATTTGCTCAGGGATTCTTTCAGCAACTATTTGTCAACTGCCTGCCTCAGGTGAGGCATGGTCCAGGACTAAGGGTGTGGGGAGAAGGGAAGGAGCGAAGGGTGGGTATCTCCTCCACGAAGCATGGGTCCAGCACTGGGAAGCCCTCCACAAATGGGTGTTGGCAGGTGCTGCTGAGAGCTCAGAAGACGAGGAGTCACGGAAAGAGAGATGGCCCAAACTCGCTGACTTGGAGAGATCTGTGGTCACAGGACATTGCAGCAGGGACATGAATGGGGTAGGGAGAGAGGTCGGCAGATATGGTGCGGGGGGGGGAGAACATTCTGTGAGAAGGGAGAGTAATACAAAGAGTCAGGGGGTGCCTGGTGTCCCTCTGCAGCCCAAGGCCCCCACCCACAATGGGATGCATGCGGAAGAGGGGTGGGAACAAGAACAGGTCTTCCAGGAAGATTGTGATTTTTCCCCACTCTCTTGGTCCAGAGAGGAGTCTGCTCTGGTTTATGTTTGAAAGCATCACTTAAAAAAAAAAAAAAAAAAAAAAAAAGCATCACTTGCATGAGCATGTGGGACAGACGTGAGACAGAGGGGTGGGAGGGGTGGGGGCCGCAGGTGCTTTGACTGTGTGGCTGCCCAGCTGCTGGGGAGCTGGACGAGGCATGAGGGATACTCCCCAGCTCTGGGCCCTGGACGTGCAGAACGTGCTGCCCTGCAATTCAGCGAGCTGGGGAATGTTCAGGATGCCTGTCGCACATGGCAGGAGAGAGCACATGTTCCCTGAGCACCTGCCTCTAGAGTCTAGGCCAGAGGCCCAGGCAAAAACGGGTCCTGCAAGCCACACACCCAGGGTTGGGTAGGAAGTGAGGGAGAGAGAGTCGAAGGCTGAGCTCTGGGGCTGGGGATGCTGACGGGGCAGGGGGGCAAGCAAGAGAGCTGAGAGGGAGCAGCCTGCACAGGGGGGTGTCCAGCCCGAGGGTCCCAGGCCCCTGAGGACACAGGATCAGGGAGGAAGGGTGACAGCACCGTAACCAAGGTGCTGTGAGCCCTGCCAGCACCTGGCCAACATGCAGGTCCCCCAGCTTTACTAATCTGTCTTTCCCTGGGCCCAGGGAAAACACCTGCAGGGCTTTTCTGGGTCCCTGGAAAGTGTCTGTACCGTATTCTCAGGAGGAGGTCCAACATGAGGAATGACAAAGGAAGAGCTCCATGGGTTTACACTGTGGTCAAGGTTACAGACGTGTTTCATTGGATCCTTTTCCAGGAAAAAATAAAAAACAAAACTCTCCCTTGACTCCATATTCTCCCTTCCAGGCACCAAGAAAATTTAAAAGTGACTGCTGAGATGCAGAGCAGTGGTTCCTCCCCCCAGGACAAGAGGCAGAGCCCGAAGAGTTGCAGCGATCGCGGTGGTCCGGGAGCTCCTGGCCCGGGTCGAGTGCGAGGCTGCGCGGGGCAGTACCCCAAAGCCCCAGCTCCGGGAGCCCCAGGACACCTGCCAGGAGCGGCCACAGGCTCCAGGCCCTCCCGCAGAGCCCGGGGAAAGTGCCCTCACCAAGCTCACGAACACACGAAAGTTTTCCTCTGTGTGGCGCCCACAGCCGATGGGCCAGCCTGGGGCGGGCCCCAAAAGGGCTTCCGCAGACCTCATCGTCCAATGATAAAAAGATGACAGTGTAGGGTGATGACAGTCGAGGACGTGGCGGCCGGTTCAGTATAACGGAGGAGGCGGCCCTTCCCGGTGCCGTGAGCGGGGGACGGGTGCTCGGGGAGGGGAACAGCAGGCAGGGCAGACACAGTGGGTGCTGGGGGGCGGGGCACGTGAGGACGCAGGACACGGGCAGAAGCCGTGGGACCCACTGTTAGGCACTGAGGATGCACAGTGGAAGCAGGTGGAGGATAGCCCGGGAGCACAGCGCGCAGAGACCATGGGATAGGGCACCGTCTCCGAGGACGGTAGTTGAACAGGGACTGCCCGGGACCCCCTGAAGCCCACGGGCAGAGGTGTGCAGAGGGCTGGACGGGAGGAGGTGGCGCGGACCCCCCAAGCTGCTCCCCGGACATGGAGGGGCCTCCCACCGGGGGATGGCTCCCCGGGGCCTGGTGCGGCTGTTTCTAGGCAGCGGCTGGGATCCCCAGAAAGTAGAACAAGGAGCGGGTCTTTACGGGAGCACTGGTCCTCAGACCGGGTCCAGTAGAGAGCCCTCCTCACACTTGCCTCAAAGGACCAGGGGGTCAGATGTAAACTGCAGGCAGGTGCCAGCAGCTGGCCATAGGGTAAGGGCACCTCTGTGCCTCAGTCGGTTAAACATCTGCCTTCGGCTCATGATCCCAGGGTGCTGGATGGAGCCCCATGTCCTGCTTAGCTGGGAGTCTGCTTCTCCCTCTGCCTCTGCTGCTCTTCCTGCTTGTGCCCACTGTCCCTGTCAAATAAATAATATCTATATATGTATGTATATATAAAATGTAATTAATATATATTATGTAATAAATATATAATGTAATAAATATATATATTATGTAATAAATATATATATAAAGATAAGGGCATCTCTTCGCACGGCTCTCTGGTGAAGTCTGCCCGGCTCCTATCACCTTGGCCTCGAGGTGGTAAGGTTCTTTACAAGGCGTCTGACTTGGAAATGTCCTGGTGGACTTCCTAGGAGCAAAGCCTCCCTCAGGAGGCCTTGGCTCTGACTCTGGCAGAGGCTCCCATTTCTCCTGGGAGTGCCATCCTTCCATGAGGTGGCATCTTGGGGGAGCCCCACTAGCAGATCTGCTCTGGCAGCAGTGGGCATGAGGAGACAGTGGCTGCCTCTTGTTCTGACCCAACGCCAGCGACACTCTGAGGCCTCTTCTCAACGAGGGCCTGACTCCAGGGCTTCTATGCTCATCTCTGCATTGTGTGGCTTTCTTCCCCCCTTTTATAAGATTTTATTTATTTACGAGAGAGAGAGAGAGAGAGAGAGGGAGAGAAAGAAAGAAAGAGAGCACACAGAGGGAGAGTGAGTAGCAGACTCACCATCAAGCAGGGAGTCCCATGCAGGGCTGGATCCCTGGACTGCAGGATCATGACCTGAGCTGAAGGCAGAAGCTTCACCAATGAGCCCCCCGGGCGCCCTGTCCCAATCTTATCAAGAGTCCCACTGAGTCTATTTAACCAGAACCCCCCCCCCACCCTCAATATCTGACCCTCATGAAGCCTAATCCACTGTTCCCTAGAGACATCCCGTTGGCTGTCTCTGACAAACATCCTGTTAGGTCAGTTTTGCCTGAAGCCCCCTTCCCCCGCCCCCACAGTGTTCCTTCCTAGAAACATTCCATTTCTTACGTCATGGGCACGGGATGTTGTATACACAGATGAATCACTGAACTCTGCCTATGAAACTAATAATACACTATATGTTAATTGAATGTAAATAAAATAAAATTAAAGAAAAAAAAAGAAAAAGAAACGTTCCATTCCTGGGCTGCTTCCTGGGGTCACTCGGCAGTTGTCCCAGGGCTTCCTAGAGCCTTATGATCATAGCCCCGGGAGAGACGAGTAACAAAGAGCACAGGCGGTAAAGGTCCTGTGTAACCAAAATCATGAAGGGCCTGGACAGACAGAGAGAGAAGCATGAGGCCGGGAATCAGAGTTTGGTGAGGGTGGGGAATCAGTCAGTGCCCCTGGACTGGCGGGTGGCCTGGGAGGAGGGGAGACCCCGTGGGGCAGGAGGCTGGGAGCAGGTCAGGCTGGGAGGGTGGGAGCAGGGCCCCTTCCCAGTGCACCATCCACTCTCCAGGGCTCATTCTTGCTCTCGAGCTTTGCTGTTGGCATTTAAAAAGCTTTACTATGCCTTGAACAAGGGGCCTGGTGTTCATCCTGCACTGGGCCCCACAAATTGTCCAGCTGGTGTTGGTGCTGGAAGCAGCTGGAAGTTGGCTGGGCCTGTGTTGCAGGTGCTTTTTAGAAGCCAGCCTGGTGGTGAGGCTGACAGAGCCACTGCGGAGGAATGGAGGAAGAAAGCTGCACGAGGGCAGGGACGTGTGTCCTGCGCCCCCTCCCTGAGGCTTGCTGTGGGCCTGCTCCAGTCTCTGGCACATGTTCTCACCCAGTGATGTTTGCTGCATGATGAATGAATACTGGGAAAGAGAAGACAAGGTGAATGGCCCCTGTCTCTGGTCTCCGTGAACACAGGTGAGCAGGAACCAGGCCCATGTTAAAGGAGGCGCAGCACAGGGACCTGGCAGGAAAAACCTCTTGGACGGCTCTCAGGTGGACGTGGGGAGACGCAGGAGGGCACTGGGTGGGTGGAGGTGCGGGAGAGCCCAGGGAACCCTCAGACGGGAGGTGCTGGGGTGTTAGGCCAAGTTTGGGGAAGAGCCAGGTGGAGGCCCCGAAGGGCGCAGAGGCAGGTGTAGCTGCTGTGTGGCTCTGGGGATGCATCTCTGCCACTTCCTCCCTGTGATGTGGGAGACAAGCGCTTCATCACTCTGACTCTCCGCTCGTTTGCTTCTACACTAACAGCCACTTAAAGCTGCCGAAGAGCACACTTGTCCCCTTGCCGAGCAGGTGCTCCCAGCACCCCGCACCGCCTGTGGCTCTGAGCTTTAGGAACACAGTTTGGGCAGGTGGCCACTCCCGGCTCACGTTCCGGGGAGGAGGAGGACAGGGGGCAAGGCAAGGCTTGGCTCGAGTTCGGCCCCTTCACATCGCTCACATTTATCTACTTTCTGGGACAAGTGGGGTAGTGTTGCAAAGGAAATACAAGAGCCGTATGTGAGGGGCAGGTGGGCTGAGGCCCAGACCAGGGGAATGAGCCGGCCCCAGATCTGGAGGATAGTGGGGGTGAGTGACAAAGCATGGTGTGGGCCAGATCCAGGGGAGCCATGCGGGCTGTGGAAGGGGGTCCCGACTTTGTTTCTGCTGCAGTGGAGACGGAGCATTGAATCCGGAGCCTGTCCACCTCTCCTCTCGGTGGCATCACTGTCATGAGCAGCTGGATGCCACTTGTGGCTGGTGGTGAAGGGGGGAGAGCTCGCAGTGAGGGGTTCCCTGGCCATTGGAGCTGGAGGTCCTTGGAGGGTGGTAGCAGCTGTGGGGCCGGGGGGGGGGCGGGTGGAGATGGGACCGCAGGGCCTGATGATGCTCAGCTGCGCGGAGTGGCAGGGGTGGGAGGGTAAAAGGAAGAGTGGGAATGGTACCAAAATAAGACAATAAAATGAGACTTGCAGGGGAGCCTGGGTAGCCAGTCGGTTGAGCATTTGACTTCCGCTCGGGTCATGACCTCAGGGTCTTGGGATTGAGTCCCACATTGGGCTCCCTGCTCAGTGTGAAGCCTGCTCAAGATTCTCGCTGCCTCCCCCTCTGTCCATCCCCACCCTGCCCCCCACCTCTGCTTGCACACACACTTGGTCTCTCTCTCCAAAGTAAATAAACAAATCTTAAAAAAGAAAAATGAGACATGCAGAAGAATCCCAGGGAGGTCCCTAGAGCAGGTGCGCGGGCATGAGCCTTGAACTGCAGGATGTGCAGCCTGGGACGCCAAGTGCCACCCCGCAGGGTGGCGGCCTAGAGCGGCCTGGTGTGCAGGCCAGGAACCTGGTGCCTGCTGCTAGGGGCATCGTGGAGGGGGGCACACAGCGCATGTAAAGCAGATGTGCAAGGGCACCACTGGGCACAGCCCTCATGAAGGTGCCCTGCTGAGGGTCCCGCCACCAGTTCCTGCGACTCCGGCTCCCTGGGGCCTCTCACCCTGGACCACGGTCTGGGCCCGGGGGCCTCACAGACGCTTCCCAGCAACACAAAATGCAGCACAAGTTACGGTCGCTTAGCTCCTCTCAGATGCCAGTGGGAGGGGTCGGGGAGACAGAGGCATAGTGGGCTCTGGCCTCCAGCATCTCCAGCACCCCCTCCCCCCGAAAAGGCTCCAGGGCTGGGCTGGGAGGAGAGGCCATGAGGAGACAGCTTGTGGTTGGTTCTGCTGTGACTCGGGTTCACGAACTGCTCAGGTCAGAGGACGAGCTGCACAGCCGGGCGACTGAGGGGAGTCCCTGCTTGCAGCCCTGCGGGGACCTCCCATCCCGCGAGAAGCTCCTATCGCCCCTCAGCCTGCAAGTAACAAGGGAAGAGGATGGGGTGAGCAAACCGTGGACACTCGGAGGATGTGCCACCCGAGCTCCAACTCAGGCATCCGAGGAGGGGGACTGCTGGGTTGGCCTGGGTCTCTGCGCTCGGACGCGGGGTCCCGTGTCAGTCTGGTTCTGCAAATGTCAGAGAAACTGGGGATAAAATCAGATGTGGCCTGGGGCACAGCAAGGATGAGAGACCCGGACAGGACCCGGAATTCAACGGGAGGAGAGGGGAAGCGGAGGCGGACCAGTGCCCTGCTCTCCACAGGGCCTGCCGGACCCCAGCGGGCAAGGTGGCCACGTGGCTCCACAGTCCCAGTATCACAGGGCAGGGTATGCAAGGGGGGGGGGACAGGCTCAGTGCCCTGGGGTGCATCTCTGTTCCCACCGGCAGGTGGTGGAGAGCCTGGGCAGGTCTTAGGAGCCAGGCCGCTGCTGTGGACGCTCAACCAGAATGTAGTTGCAAGCTAGTTGCAGGGGTGCCAGGGAGGTCTCGAATCCCTCAGAGAAACTGAAACACTTCCCTGAGCAGCGGACCCCAGGATGGGGGGAAGGCAGCCCCTCTCCAGCTGCGCTTCTCCTGAGGGGGGTGTGTGGGAGCCACGTTTTACTTCCGGCTGTCTGCTTCCACTCTGCCTCGGTCCTGGGCATCTTGAACACCTGCTAGGCATCTTACGTGCCTCCTGGCCATCCTCTTGGGGCCCGGACAGCTTCCACCTGGACGCCTGCAGGATCTAGTGCACAGAATACCCTCACTTTTGTCCAAAGCCGACATGTGGCTTTCTTCTGGTGTGCCCCACCCCACTCCCCACGGCCTCGGGCATCTCCCACCACTGGCCTTCCCGGGTTCCCACTGAGTCACGCCAGGCCACATGTCTAGCTTGGAGCCGCTCACCCCACACTTCTTCTCCCTCCTCCCTCTCCTGCCCTCTTCTTTAGGAGGGGTGGGGGCTGCACCGTGCACACCAACGCTCCCTAACAGAATCCTGTCTCCCTCACCTCTCCTCTCCGAGACTGCTACCTCCCTTCTCCAGATCCCAGAAGCCACAGGAAGCATTTCAGGTGACAAGCTGTTACAGCTGCTTGGTGATCACAAAATACCCCACAAGGGAAGTGAACGTGTGCTCCCGAAGAGGGCCGCACAACTGTGAGAGTCCTTTAAAATTGTGCTTCATCCTTAACAGTCACACCGGTTTTGTGCTCTATTGCAGATGATGCTTGTAGGAAATGGATTCTTCTGCTTTCCGAGTGAGCTCCATCCTCCCTAAAGTCCATTTGTGTCCAACACACAGGGAAAGACTGGCATCCTGTGGCCATTTGTTAGCATTACATCGCAGGTCTGGAAATGCACAGGGCTTCATCAAATTCGGACTCCATAGAATGTATAGAGGAGTTTTAAGATAAATAATGCAACGTAGTTTATTCTTATTATGGAAAGTGCATCAAATGAGAGGAAGGCGCTTCATGAAGCAAAACACAGGAACTTCTAGGCAACAAATCGTTTTCCATTCTGAGTATGTATGATAGTAATCTCCTTGGCCTCTGGACCAGATCTATTAACTGTTTCAGTGGAAGCACGTATTAATAAATTAAATCATCAGTTTATGTCACGTCTTAGTTATGTGACATCCTAAAGCTTTAGTTTGGAGAAGTTACTGAGAGAGCACCTGGGAGGTCCTGAAGCAAAACCTGAGACTTTTAGGGTCCGATCCTCTGAACTGTGGACTGGACTCCACAGGGAGTCCCCACATCAGAAGCCGGAATCTAGACTTCCCTCCAGGTGTGAGGACACAGGCAGAAAAATGCAACGTTTTTCTTGGAAGTGTGATGAGAAAAATGATTTTTTTGAAAAAAACTGAAAACTCCAAACCAAAACACCACAAACTACTTTTGTGAGTAGGCTAAGGATACATTTGTTTTCCAAGATGGATGATGCCATCAATCACCTGTTACTTAACTAACTCTCTGCCTAGGAGGTGCCTTGCACCTGGCCCCGTCCTGGTCACTTTTCACTTGAACGGCAGCTAATCCTCTGTAAGACAACAGCAGCTCAAATTGGTCACTTGCTGGAGAATTTAAAGCCGGGTGTGTGGTTCCAAATGGACCGTTCACCACTGTCTGCAGTATAGACACCTGCTTGTTTCCATCACAATGAGGAACAGCTGTGGCTCCCCACGTGGGAAAGGGGGAAACGTAGTTTTCAGCGCTCCTTGATCAGTGGCCCACCTCAACTCCCATTATACCTATGACGTGTGTCTTTGTACAGTCTGCAACCTAAGAGTGAGTTTTACGGTTTTTTTTTTTTAAAGACTTTTCAAGTAACCTCTACATCCAACCTGGGGCTTGAACTCAGGACCTCCAGATCAAGTGTCACACGCGCTCCACGGACCGAGCCGGTGGCGGGGGGGGGGGGGGGGAGTATGTTTTGTTCTTAAAAGTGGTTCTTTACAAACCAAAACTATCGACAAATATGCGCAGAGATCTGTAGGGCCCCCGAATCCTAAAATCATCACCACGCGGCTCTTTACAGCGTTTGCTTGCCCTGCGCTACACATAGATTTTTTGCTTCTTTCGCTCGATGTCGGAAGCACCGGCTTGAGGAAGGTCGTGGTAGAAACAAATGCACTTTCGTCCTCGGACGCGGGCGCGGATTCTTTTTGACCTTCGATTACTTGCAGCAAATTTGGTGGACTCGGACATTCACTGAGCACCTACTGTGCACGGCCCTTCACAAGGTTTAAAAGGAAAACGGGGAGGTCTAAGAGGACGTGAAAATCACTGTGGTCCAAGTCAAAATGTGGGTGTCACAAAAAATCAGTGCGGAAAAGGCGGGTGTCACGTAGGGTGGTGGAGGTAAAACGCGGGCCCTGGGTGGCCGGCGGGTGACAGCGGATGGAGCTGGGAGGAGGCCGTCCGACCCGGGCGCAGGCGGCGGCCACCAGGCCAGGAGGCCGGGAGGGCAGAGGAGGGCTCCAGCCGCGCTGGGGGCGGGCGGGGACCAACTACTAATCTGGAAAAAACCTCCAGTTACTTGGGGAACCTTGAATCACAGGGCAGTTCCCCTGGAACCTACGTGTTTGGGATCAGAATCCGGAAACGGGAGGTCACCGGGCCTCCTCGAGGGTCCCGCGCGGCCCAGGCACGCCGCTCCTTCCCCTCGCCGGTACCGGGCCCCCCGGGTCCCCCGCCCCGGACCCCTCGCTCCGCAGCCCGAGCCCAGCCAACACTCCGGAAGGAGCCGCTCAGGTCCGCAGGTGCGCCGGCGGGCGGGATGCCGGGATCTGGACCTTACACGGCGGCGCGGGGCAGGGCGGGCGACCGCGCGGTCCTCCGAGGACGGCGGGGGCGGGTGACGGGAGAATCCCCGCGCGCTCCGGGGGGTCGCGCCCGAGCCGCCCCCGCGGCGGCTGGTTTCCTCCCCCGTCCGGAGGCACGCAGGCGGCTTGGAGGTGGCCGGGCCCCACGGCCCGCGGCACCCGCCGGACTGGCGCGGAGCGGTTCCCTCCGGTCACAAGCCGCACACTTGCCCGCCGGGTGCGGGTCCTTCCGGGCCGGCGGGCGCCCGAGTGACGTCACCCGAGGTCTCCGCCCCCTGGCTGGCGGCTGTGGGTGTCTATGGAAAGTCTGTCCCACCCAAGCCGGCAATGGAAGAGTCGCCGCCTAGACAGCGCAAGGGGTGCACCTTCGAGGCCGTTGGTCTCCCTGGCTTTTCCCGTGCGGGCGCCTCTCCGGCCGTGCCGGCCCGGCTCCCCTGCCCATTCCGCTCAGGCGGCGCCGCGGGCAGCCCCGGGCCGCGGCGGGGGGCGGGGCGAGCTAGGGCGGGGCGGGGTCCTGGCTGGGCGGTGTCGCGCTCGGGGGCCGCGCCGGGTCGCATTTCTCTCCAGTGCCCGAGGCGGCTCCGGTCGGGAGAGCCTTTCGCCACCTCCACGGGGACCTCTGTGCACGGATGGACCCGCCCGGACCCGGCGGGAAGCGGCCTGGCAGGCGGCGGCCCCGGCAGCGTCAGCAGAGGGAGGACAGGGCCGAGGCCGCGGGTCCCTGAGGCGCGCGGGCCCACGGGGCCCGGCGTTGGCACCATGATGCCGGGCGAGACCCACTCGGCGGCGCCCGGGACGGCGGCGGACCTGTCGCGGTGTCAGGGCTGCGCCTCCCTGCAGCAGGTGCGGGCCTCCCCGGGCCGGGCGCGGGGCTGGGGGTCCGGCGCCGCGGCGGGAGCCCCCTCCTCCCCTCCCGCTCCCCTTTACTGCGGCTGCTTGGGGAAACGCCTCCTTTGCTTTATTCGGGCGCGCAGCCCGGGGATCCTCTGCCAGGATGCAGTGGTGGTGCGGGGCGCGCGAGCGAGTGCTGGGGGCCCTTCCTTCACGTACCCAGCCCCGGGGCTCCCCGGGGTGACTTTGAGGTCCACGGGTGACGGGCCAAATGCCGGGGAAGCTGCCCCTCTCTGCGACCTTTTTTATTGCCCTGGCTCATCCCGAGATACTTGCCTGGAGGCGCGACGTGCAGGTTGGCCGGGAGGGCCGTTCTTCAATGAAAGGCTTGCGGTTCCCGCAAGTTTCTAACCGCAGAATGGACTGTTGTGTGCAGCACGGAAGAGGCGTTGCTGCTGTCTGGCTCCAGGTCCTCCGAGGTAGAGGGAATAGGCCCAGGGTCTCGTTGCCGTCGGGAGTCTCTTAACCTCCAGGGTCGGTGCCTTTGACGGCAAAGAGGGACGCAGCCCTGCCTGCAGGAGTGCGTTAAATTATCGATCGCCCTTTCTGCCCAGGGGTCCCGGCAGCAGGGTCACAGGGGTGAACAGAGTGGATGGCCTGCTCCTGAAAGTCAGACACGTGTGCAAATAAGACCTTAGAAGATTTTAAGTATTCCAGAGAAAGTAGGGGAGGAGTTGGAATGGGGGGTCTTGGCTTTTGGGATATTCTGGGGGGACGGGAGGTGGGGAGAGCTGAATGTTGAGCACAAGAGGTGTGGGAGGACCTCCCTCCACGGACGGATTAACAGGTGGGACCGTTATGGGGTGAGGAGAAGCAGAACAGTGTGGGGTTGGTGTGAGCAGGGTGCAGAGGGGAGGGTGGCTGCCCAGATGGGACCAGAAAGGGATGTAGGCCATGCACACCATCAAAATAAGCTGGGCGGGCTGTTGTTTAAGTGCATTGTCTGTGAACTGATCCCAGGTGTTCTCAGTGTTGAGAGCGGGGGACATAGAAAGGGAGTCACGCACCGGCACCCTGGATGGAAGGGAACTGGTGGTAGAACTGTCCGGGCTGCGCTGTATACGCATCTGTAATATGCTTTTACTCTTTTTCATCAAGACCCCAGGAACATGAGTGAAGTTCTCCTGAATCTGTAATAAGATTATTCTTTGTGCCAGTCTCATCCAACAAGTATTTGTAGGTCACCTGCTGTGTTTGAGGCAGTGTGATTATAGCAGCAGGAAAAGAGGCAAGCATCCTTGATCTCTTGGAGCCTTCATTTTAGGAGGTGGGAGGAAGAGACAGGCAAACAAGTCACATGAGAAGATGATAAATATGTCAGAAATTGAGCGAATAAGGTGTCAAGAACAAATGGGCAAGGAAGGGGCCACTGGCTGGTGGAATCTATGTAGGAAGTCCTGGGAAGGCCTTTCTGAAAAGGTTATATTTGAGCAAAAGGGGTGAGAGAATAAGCTCTGGAGATACCTTGGGAGCAGAGCATCGCATACAGTAGGTGTGGAGCCTGACATGGGCGTGCTGGGCGTGCTGGGTGTGCTTGGGCAAAGCACGGTGGCCAGTGTAGATGTCTTAGTCTCTTCTGGGCTGCTGTAACAAAATGTCATAGACTGGGTGGCTTATGAGTCCTAGGAACTTATTCCTCCTAGTTCTGTTGACTGGGAGGTCCTAGATCCAAGCACGGGCAGATCTGGCATCTCAGGAGGGCCGGGTTCCTAGTTTGTGACTGTCTGGCCCTGCCCTCCCCTGGTGGAAGGGGGAAAGCGGGCTTTTGTAAAGAGCCCAAATCCCATTCATGAGGGCTCTGCCCTCATGACCTAATCCCCTCCCAAAGGTGTCACACTTTTGTTGTTGGCCGCCCACATGGGATTAGGTTTAAATATACAAATTTGGGGAGGGAGCACAAAAACAATTTCTAGCAGTCAGGACGTCTGAAGAAATCAGAAGGAGAAGGGTCTGAGGTGTGGGCTCTTAGAGACCACTGCAAAGGATTTGGCTTTTACTCTGCAAAGGAGGGTGAGCTGTCAGAGGCTTTTGTGAAGAATAACTGGCGTGAATTATGCTTTTCAGTTGGGAATCTGGTCATTCTCCAAAAACCTGGCCTACCCGTGGTAGTCCTCATCTCAGCTAAAAGTAGCCACTGCATCTCTGGTGGTTTAGGCCAGAAACTAGGTGTCATCCTTGGTGCCTGTCTTTCTCTCACATCCTGCGTCCATCTGTCCGCTGATTCCCTTGACTTCACCTTCCCTATCCATCCCTCCTCACTCTTGCCCGCTGCTTCCAGTCTTGTGTGAACCTGTGTGATCTCTGGCCCAGGGATTCATGCTTCAGCCTCCAGAGAACTCCCCCTCTCTTCCACCGTTGCTGCAGTCTTGCTATTGGTTCTCAGAATAGCAGTGGGAGGAATCCTGTTAGATCATTCCGCCAGGCGTATGCAGGTTTGTTCCACGAGGGGCAAGATCATTAGGATGGGGGCTTGTGGTCTATTCACAGGTATTCCTCTACCCTTGTAGGGCACGAGCAGCGCAGGCAGCAGTAGAGGAATGGGCCTGGCTGGGCTCCAGGGAAACTGGATTTACAAAAGCAGGGCCTGCCTTCGCAGACCTCTTCCCTAGGTCAGGATACTCCACTGCATTGGGGCTTTTGCCTGGAACGTTTTTTAGGGGAAGAGAATGATTACTTAGCTGTAGAGTCTTGAACAAGTCTTTAATTTTGCAAAGGAATGCTGGAAAAACAGGTTTGTGGCACATTATTGAAGATCTTGAATAGTAACCCCCTTCAAGTTTTATACTTTTGTCAGAAGGAGTAGAGAAAGGTTTTGCACAATTACCAGTGGTGTTTTTGGTAAAAATAGCAGGTGGCGATGTACAGGTTGGATGAGAGGAGTGCATCTAGCTCTGGAACCTTATTTTATTAATGCACGCTAGTGATAACAAAAGTCTGGGTGAAACAAAAGCTTCCTGGGAATGGGAATAAAAAAGCAAAAGGGTCCAGATATGAGAAGCTACAAAGCGGATTTCAGGTCAGGGGAAGAAAAGATCCAGAGATTAAAACCAGAGTGTCTGAGAACTGGTAGAGGAAAGAGAAATAGAAACCAAGACAGAAGAGGTGTTGGAAATGTGGGATTGAAGTTCTAGAATGAGGTCAGAACTGGGACTTGGGAGCTGTTTTCACATTGTGGAGCAGGAGGCTTCCAGAGCGCCTGATATCCTGCTGAGAAGACAGAGCAGGCCAGGGTAGGTCGGAGCGGGGTTCCTTGTAAGAAGTTTGTTTTGAAGGGGGAAGATGGTGATAGGAGAATGAGGGAGCACGATCTGTCACTTGAAGAGATTTTGAGAAGCTTTGTGACATGTCCTGAGATTAGGTGCTGGCACTAGCAGTCGGTGAGGGAAAAGCTGCTGGCTGCTGACGGAAGGCGGGCATGGAATGGTGGGTGAGAAAGGGAAACATAAACAAGAACCCCAGGAAGTGAGGGCGGGAAAGATCAAGAACAGGGAGCAAGTGGAGATCTGTCATTCGGGGTACGTCCCTCCCCTAGAAGAGGCTACCAGGTTCCCTCCTGGAGGGACACTGGTGCCGGGGAGACTAGGGGGTGTCCTGCACAGAGACAGTGGGCCGCTGGGTGGTTTTGTCAGGCACTTGGCGTTTGGCTGGAAATGGGCAGGCTCGCCGCAGGCATCTCCCAGTTGTTGGGGCTGCACTGGGCCTGGTTCTGAACCACAGCGGGAAGCTGGCTCTGTCCCGAGCGGAGCCGTCCTTTCCTTGTGCTGGAAACCTTTTCCCTGCCCTCTTTGTTACAGTGTTGCTGTGATGATGGTCACTCCATTTGGAAGCATGTGAATTAACTTCATGCTAGGCACCCTTTGTTTTGTCGTCCCGCAGCTCACCTGTTGTTAGCTGCCCACATGGTGGCGATGGTTGGTCCCTGAGCTCCAGCCCAGGGTCCCTGCGGCTGCTGGACTTGAGTAGTCACAGCAGAGCAGCGTGGGTCCTTCTGCGGTGGCGGAGTGCACTTGCATGCTGCTTGCCCTGGATTGTTTTAAGTCTGCTGGCATGAGTCGCTCCATTCTGGTGGAGGAGAGGCCTTTTCTTCATGAGTTTGCTTCACTGCAGAGCACAACAGTTTAACCTTTGGGCATCCTGGTGAGAGTTGAGAGCACGTGGTTATACCCTTGACCCCTAGAGTAGATTGTGCCACTAGAGTAGATTCAGGGTACGTGGTGTTTGGCCGTCCTCGGTGCAGACTTGAGCCTGCTACTCAACTCGTGTAGGCCTCCCCCCTGCTACTTGCCAGGGGTCGGAACTTCATCATTTGGACCCTGAACTGTGATTTTTCCTTGATGAACTGACTTGTAAATTATTCTATCAAAAGAAGGCTCACAAAGTTGTAATCCGTTCAGTGAGCAGACATTTTCTGAGCATCACCGGGTCTAGGATGCCATGGCTTGTTTTGGAGTATAGTCAGGAAAGACTTGGTGCACTTGTTCTAGTTGGGGTTCCAGATAGTGAGGAAGCTACCACAGGAGAAGCCTGTCAGTGAGTACTGTGCTGGGGGGTGTACAGGGTATGCGGAGAGCATCTACGAGGAGCAGGGAATGAGTTGAGGTCTGAAAGATGATTCTTAGTCGAGTAAGAGGGAAGAGATGGGGGGAGTGTGTAGTGGACCGGCGGGCACCGTGTGCGGAGATCAGTGTGGGAAAAGGTGGTTTGTGATGGATGAAGCACGAAGAGAGGTCAGGGCAGGCACGAAGACGAGGTGCAAGACTGGGGCCGCCTGCCTTCCCAGGAGGCAGAGCCACTCAGCTTGTTTGGTGGGGAAGTGCCCTGAGTGGCGTTGGAGCAGGGGGAGCATTCCTGCCTTCCTGCCTTGTTCCAGTCCACTCTGTGCCAGAAGACATCACATGGGGGTCCTTGCTACTGCTCAGGAGACACAGCTCTTATGCAAATCAGTGTAGACT